TTCATTTATGTTTATTTTCTTGGGGTGCACACGTTGTTTGCTATGTGTGCTCCCCATAATGGAGTAAGTGGTTTCTGTATGTTTCTTTGTGGGTTGGTTTTATTTAACGTGTCATCCTCTTTTATTGGGTTAGACATTCGCAGATGTTGTATTAGAGATATAAAGGTTATTTTCAAGAGAAATTTTAGAGTTGGCAAAGCAAGGCCCGTTGGTGCTTTTGATGGCGGGGTGCTTCGACAGGTGTTTGAGGTTGTAAAGGCTGTTGGAGAGGTGCGTTCTGATGAGCAGCCCGTTGATTTTAATGATATTCTATCCTTCAGTCTAGGTATTACGCAAGATTTTCCTGATCATGGGGGGGGGGGGGGGGGCTGACATTGGGGATGTGGTTCGTGGTTTAACTCCGGCCAATACTGGTCGTCCTTTTTTTGGTGTTGAGGTCAGTTTTGTTGGGTTAGTCGTGTGGGTTCACACTGTTTCTGGTTTTGTTGGTTTATAACTCATTACTTTTTTCACTCTATTCCTATTTGCTAGGGTGGTCCAATTCAAGAGCATGGTGATGATGGCATGGGTGGTGTTTTAGGTGCTCCGGGTATTGATGTGGTTGTTCCTAATGGGGTTGGGCTTGTGCGGGTTCGGAGGGTTGTGGCCCGCGGTGTGTGGAGGGACATACGCATGTTGATGGCGTTTCCATGGTGTGTGGTATTGGGTCTGAGGGTGCTTGCCCGGGGGGTTCGGAGGTACCTACGCATATTGATGTTCCGCTATCTACGCCGATTGAGCCTGGCTTGGTATGTTTGTTATAAAGGAGTGGATTTGATGTGTTATAAAATGATGGATTTGATGTGTGCATTTTTTTCCTAGGTTTTTTTTTTTTTCGTAATTCAGATGCTCTGTTAATTTTTTTATAGTAGTTGTGGGCATTCTTGCAAATTAATGGATGCATTTGCTGGGTTTTATGTGTGTATAGTTGTATTAAGTGGTAATTGTGTTTTGAATCCAAGGATTGGTTAGTTGCACGGGTGTGGTATAAAGGAATGGGTTTTCTGTATGCATAATGTGGGTAGATGGGTACATGTGCTAGGATTTATGTGTGGATATTTTTATTAAGTGGCAATTATATGTTCAATTTAAGAGTTGGGTAGTTGTAAGGTTTGTTATAAAGTAATATTTTTTATGTGTGCATGGATGTGTATAAATGGATGCACTTGTTGGAAATTTTGTGTGCTTAGTTTAAGTAAGTGGCATTTTGTAGTTTGAATTCAAGACTTGGGTATTGGTGCTCCCACTTCTCCTATTTAGCCATTTATTCATAGTTTGGTGTGATGTAATGGTTTTGATGTGTGTGTGTGGATGTGTATAAATGGATGCACTTGCTGGAACTTATGTGTGCGTAGTTTAAGTAAGTGGCATTTTGTAATTTCAATTCAGCACTTGGTTGTTGATGCTCACACTTCTTTCTATGCAGCCATCTATGCATGGGGGTGAGCCTAGTCGGTCTCAGTCTGACGGACATATTTGTCAAGCCCCTTTCAAACCTTCTAGGGGTGTTACTATCCCGTCGGATGCTTTGTTTTTGCAGCTGTCGGATCTGGATCTTGGGTTGCCCGCTTTAGACAATCCAGAAGAGTCGGTTATTTGCAACTGGTTGTTGTGTGCAGCTGAGGGGGACATGTTAGTTTCGAGAACCATTTTTTAATAGACATATTGTGTTGGTTATGTGTGTTTGATCGGTGTGTTTTTTTTTATTACTTTCGTGTAGGGAGGAGATTTTGGTTGATGTGGGTGGTAGTGTGGCGCGGTGGGCGGACTTGGTGTCTTTGGCACCCGGGTCTTTGGTTGAGGTTGGTGTTGTAGACGCATGGGCCTGTCTGTTAAATTGTCGGGAGCGGTATAAGGAACCGAATGCCCCTTCTCGATTTTTTGCCTCCACTCTTTCCACGGTTTATAATTGCATCTTTTTGTGTTATGGTAGTTTGACATGTTTATGTGTTTTTGGTTGGGCTAATTTCACTCTTTTTTGAAGCTTCATATTGTCGTGGATACCTCCCATGATCGGGATAAGCAGTTTGCTTTGTTCAAGGATAGGCTACACGAGGAGTTTCAGATGACGCCATATCGTTACATTTCTGAAGTTGATTTGGTATGTATGTTTTTGTTTTACTTGGCTTCTAGACGATGCATCCATTATTTTTTGTGTGCACACGGACTGAGTTTTGTGTGCACGCGGGTTGCGCTAGGTTATTTGCTTGTAGTGATTTTTGTTTTCGAGGTGGTGCGTCATTGTTTTTTTGCAGTTTATGTTCCCCATTCTACTTTAGCAACATTACTTCCTTCTATGTGTTGATTTTCGAAAATTCCGGTGTGAGATAATTGACAATTCGACTCTTCAGCCTAATACGAAGCTGAAATATGGGGATTGCCCGGAGGATTTGGTATGTTATATATTTCGCACAGTCTGGTACTTTTTTACCTCTTTGCGCTTTTGGTTTTCGTCATTTTGATGTCTGCAATCTGGGGGGCCTAATACGAAGTTGAAATATGGGGATTCCCCGGAGGATTTGGTATGTTATATATTTCGCACAGTCTGGTACTTTTTTACCTCTTTGCGCTTTTCGGTTTTCGTCATTTTGATGTCTGCAATCTGGGGGGCCTAATACGAAGTTGAAATATGGGGATTGCCCGGAGGATTTGGTATGTTATATATTTTGCACAGTCTGGTACTTTTTTACCTCTTTGCGCTTTTCGGTTTTCGTCATTTTGATGTCTGCAATCTGGGGGTCTCTTACAGTTGGGCATGCTAATGGAATTCTTTAGCACTATTCATCCGGGGAGGTCTACGATGTGTGCGTGTTTGGAGCCAAAGCGTATGCAGATGAGTTGGCATGATGGCAAGAATAAGGTTGACTGCGGGGTCTATGTCATGCGTCATATGGAGTCTTACATGGGGCAGGGAGTGGCCAGATAGAGGTGTGGGCTTAGCAAAGGTAATATTGCTCAGCTCAAGAAGTTAAGGTTACGCTACATGAAGGAAATTGCAACATCAGAGTTCAATTTACTAAAGTCTAGGAATGTTCCTCGGGCGTATAAGTTTGTGTCATCGATCTCGTAGGTCTGGGGGTGGGGTTCGTGTCTTTGGTGTCTTTGGTTTAATGGATATTAGTTCACAAGTTTTGCAATGGTATGCCTACCTTTTTGGGGTTTTTATGTAGCTACCATTGTTATTGTGCATGGGTGAGTAAGCCGGTATTTAGTTTGTTGAGTTCTCATTCTTTTTGCTAAGTAAGGGTTGCACCTGTGTACCCTCATGGGGTTCCTTTGACATTTGTTTATTCGCAGTTGGTTGTTTGTTTATTAGTGACAAATTTATGTTATTAATTGCTTCTTGTTTAATTAAATTTTGGTATCTCCTTTTTTTTGGGTTGCGGTTGTGGGTGTTTGGATGCACAGTGTAATAACTTATGATGCACCGCCCTACACTTCTAAACTGACTCTGTGTGTTTTAGGTAATAGTAATTTCTACTGTTTGGTGGTGGTTTCGTGCGCACAGTGGCTTGATTGTGTGGTGGTAAACAGTGTGCGTATTTGTGGTTAATAGTTTAATGAATTATGCATGATTCTCTATTCATCTAAATTACACAGAAGACAGTAGGTCTATATTATCTTACCTGCTTAGTTCTTGGGTATTGGGTGTACTACTATGCGTGCACAACTATTTAATTATCAAGTCATTGGTATCAAACGAGTAGTTTACTATTAGCTTATAGAGTTTACTAATTAGAAACACGTGTGCGCAATGGCGGTTCTAAGTGGACATGTGTGTTCGTAATACATTGGTTTTCGTGGGTAAAATTAAAAACAGTCCAGTTTAATTTAATTATATACGGTTATTGTTAAATATGTGGGTGCACCTTGACGTTAAATACTGTGCGTTCGCAACTGAATACATGTCAAAGATGTGTTGCGAATTTAATAAATTTCACCGTAGTGAGTATTTCGCTGTTAACTTATAGGCTTACTAATAGAACCGGTGGGTGCACAATGGTGGGAGACCGTGTGCATAGCTGAACAAATTAACTAGTTGACTATTAGCGTATAGGCTTAGTGCACAACTATTTAATTATCAAGCCATGTGTAAAAATGGTATAAAATTAAACTCACCTAAGTAGTTTTCTATTAGCTTGTAGGGTTTACTAATTTAAAACGTGTGTGCGCAATGGCGGTTCTAAGTGTGCATGTCTGTTCGTAATACATTGGTTTTTATGGGTAAAATTAAAAACAGTCTAGTTTAATTTAATTATATACGGTTATTGTTAAATATGTGGATGCACCTTGGCGTTAAATACTGTGCGTTCGCAACTAAAGACGTGGCAAAGATGGGTGTGAATTTAATAAATTTCACCGTGGTGAGTATTAGGTTGTTAACTTATAGGCTTAGTAATAAAACCTGTGGGTGCACAATGATGGTGGACCGTGTGCATAGCTGAACAAATTAACTAGTTGACTATTAGCGCATAGACGTAGTGGTAAAACTGTGTGTGCACGTTGATGGTAAACAGTGTGCATAGCTGAGCGAATTAAGTAGTTGACTATTACACTGTAGGCTTAGTAATAAAACTGTGTGCACAATGATGGTGGTCAGCGTGCATAGCTGAACAAACAAACTAGTGTTGGATAAAATTCTAAAGTTTGACAAGTATTTAATTCAACTTTAAATTGAGATAGTATTCGTAGTATTTTAAACCACAGGAGGCTACTCGTCTGATAGGTCTTTTCTTTCTGGACAATTCCAGCTATCGTGGCCCGGTTGGTCACAAGTAGCACATGTCCTCACCTTTTTCTTCGTTTTTTCCATTGCTTTCTCTTTGTTGCTCTTTAATCATTTCCCGCTGCCCTTGTTCTTTGCAACATTGGGTGGCTTGATTTGGATCTCGGTAGGTGCAGTAGCGTTGACTATTGATTCAATCACTGATTGGTGGCTGGTGCTTGGGTTGGCTTGTTGCTTAGCGCTCTTTAACTTCCCATTTAGCTGCTGCATTGTTGTCATTAGAGCCATTTCGTTCACTTCCATTTTCCAATCCTAAGCAGTTGTAGAATTCATTCCAGAGTTGGTTCGCAATTGATTTGAGTTCATTCCCCCCTTGCGTATTAGGGCTACCTTTCAACACAATATCATACATTGGCCGTGCAGATGCGTCTCTTGTCCATCGGGGAACAATATAGTGTCCTGGTATTTCTTCGATGCCTTCGTCCTTGAAAATTGCCAACACATGCTTACATAAGATTCCTACTCTGTTGAATTTGTTGCAACTGCATTCTGTTTTATGGGTAGCTTCTTGGTGTGTTACCTCGAACAGTTTCGCACCCGTTTCATGTACAATGTACCTCCGGTTCTCGTCCTCAAGCGTCTTGTTGGTGATTTTGCATGTGAAACTTCCGGCCCATATTTCTTTTTGGAACTCGTAGAATATGTTGATGGTGTACAGTGCCGCTGCTTGGCGTTCCATGCCCAACGGGGTCTTCGGTTCAGGGGTTGAACCTTCACAGTCTGCGTTCAACTTTGCTTGGTTATGCCTCTGTTCTTCTATGGCGCGGTTGTATTGCATTATAAACTCGACTAGGCTGCAGTGGTGATTGGTGAATTTGTCGAAATAATTGTTCTCCGATTCTGAACGTGATGTTGTTTTGAGTAGTCCTCCCATGAGTACATCTTGGAAATATGCGGGTATCCACGATGCACGTGCCTCGTACAATTAGTAAAACCACCTGTGCTCAACAAGGTGGTAATCTTGCATTATCTTTGCCCATTTCAATTCAAATTCGGTGGCACTTAAGGTTTCATCCTATTAGGACTCTATGTATATGAGTCTGTTTAGAACTTTTTATCCTTGTCACACTGTGACTCTCTACTTCTTATCATTGTCACACTGTGACTCTCTATTCTATATATTCACATCATCTGATCTCATTGTAATCAAGTTCAGTAAATACAATACAATCAGTTCTCATCTGGTATCAGTAAGCTAGGGTTTTTTCTTTGTCTCTCGTCCCTATGGCTTACGGATCTGTTAATTCCTCCGAACGGACCGTGTCTGATGCTGCTATGTCGTCAAGTTCGTCGTCAATTGTGTCGCTATCCACTGCACATCACTTCATCAGTACGAAGTTAACCTATAAGAATTATTTGTTCTGGCTTACGCAAGTCGTCCCGTTTCTTCACGGGCATGACCTAATGGGGTTTGTTGATGGTACGAAACCCTCACCGGCTGTTCTTCTTGCTGCCGACGCCATGCCACGGCCGAACCCCGCCTATGCCGTTTGGATGCGTCAAGATCAAGCATTGTTGTCCATGCATGTCTCCTCCCTCTCCGACGAGGTCATGCCAATCGCCGTCGGACGTCGCACGAGTCGTGCCCTTTGGGAGGCCATTGTTCAGACGTTGTCGTCTTCCTCCCGCGCCCGCACGTTAAACCTTCTCGGCCAGTTGCAGGGACTGGACCAGGGTGATTCGTCGGTTGCGGATTACATCGGGCAAGCTCAGGTGATTGTTGAAGAGCTCACCCTCGCCGGTCGCGTCGTCTCCCTCGACGATCAGAATCTCTTTGTTTTTCGCGGCTTGAGACCGGAATTCCGTGCCCTCACCGCGTCTCTTGCCGTCCGTGGGCAGCCGGTCACGCTCCAGGAGTTGGCGGACTTCCTCGACGCCCAGGAATTTATCGCCAGCCGTGATTATGGAGGTGCTCCGGCGGCTCTTGCTGTTTAGCGCGGTGGCGGCCGATCAGGTCGCGGAGGTCAGAACCGTGGCGGCGGTCAACGAGCAGGCGGGGCCAATCGTGGTGGTGGGGGTAGACAGCAAGGTGGCCGTGGGCGTGGTGGCCGCGGTCGCGGACGCAACAATGGTGGCAATCAGGTTCAATGCCAGATATGTAGGCGAACTGGTCACGAGGCTCATGTATGCTATAACCGGTATGATTCCCCACCTCAGGCCAATCTAACATATCAAGATAATTCAGATGTTGGTACTCCTCAGACATGGATCCCGGATACAGGGCCAACTAATCATGTTACTCCGGACATTGCTGCTTTGACCACCTCAGAAGAATATGTTGGCAATGACACCTTGCGTGTCGGTGACGGTATGGGTTTATCTATTAGTCATGTTGACCATGCTTCTTTTAATACCCCTTCTAGATCATTCACATTGTCTGATATACTTCACGTTCCACGTTTGTCTAATTCTTTATTATCTGTTCAGAAGTTTGCATCCGATAATAAAGTCTTTTTTTAGTTTCACCCCTTTTTTTTTTGTTGTGAAGGATATCAATACCAAGGAAATACTTCTTCGGGGCAATAGTTCTGGGGGACTATACACACTTCCATTACCTAGTTCGTCTCTGTCAGCGTTTCTTTCCGCTCGTGCCTCGGCTTCCACTTGGCACAATCGTTTGGGTCATCCTCATAACCGTGTTCTTAGCCATATACTTCGATCTTGTTTAGTTAATGGATCTCGTGATAATATTCGTTGCACTAATTCTTTATGCAATGCATGTCAATTAGGCAAATCTGCCCGTTATCCCCTCCCTCGTGTTGCTTCCTCTAGTTCTCACGTACTGGATCTTATTTACACAGACATTTGGGGTCCTGTGCGTACTTTATCTACATCTGGCTTCCGTTACTTTGTGATCTTTGTGGATGATTATTCCCGTTATACATGGTTCTTCCCTATGAAATTAAAGTCTGATCTCTATGTCATCTTTGATAAATTTCGTACTCTTGTTGAACGGTCCTTTAATTGCAAAATAAAGGCCATTAAGTCTGATTTAGGTGCTGAGTACAAAAAGTTGCATTCTTCATTTGTTCAATTAGGAATTCAACATAGACAATCATGTGCCTATACACATGAACAAAATGGTCGTGTTGAACAAAAACATCGTCACATTGTTGAAACTGGTCTGGCTCTTCTAGCTCATGCCTCTGTTCCTTTGAAATTTTGGGATTTTGCCTTTGAGACTGCTGTCTATTCAATTAACAGAATGCCATCTTCTGTATTAAATAACTCCAGTCCTCATCTCCTGTTACATAAATCCCCTCCTTTCTATCTTTTTCTTCGTGTCTTTGGGTGTTTATGCTACCCTCATCTTCGACCATATAATCGTCATAAGATGTCATACAGGTCTTCTCCATGTGTCTTCCTAGGTTATCCTGAGTCATTTAGGGGGTACAGATACATGGACTTACATACTAATAAGATTTACACATGCAGGCATGTCAGATTTGATGAAGAAGTTTTTCCCTTTGCTACTAAAACTTCTTTGCAGGATCTATCTACTCTGTTTTCTGGACCTTGGGCGGAATCTGTTCTTAGTCACAGCACACCTATTCCTGCCGTGTCCAATGATGAGCCGCCAGAACCGCTACTACCTACTTCATTCGAACCAGCCGTGGATCCCGGACAGGCTGCCTCGTCGGGTGATCCTGTGGAGCCTGTTGCTCGCCGGCGAGGCCGTCCACGTTGGCGGTCCATCAGGCCCAATGTCCGTACTCACTCTAGGCCACTCGCAGCAACACAGATGCTCTTCTTTTTGCTCTAGCAGCTCAGGTGCATCCCACGGAACCCACATGTCACTCTCAAGCTGTCAAATATCCTGAGTGGCGTGAAGCCATGGACCAAGAATTCAATGCTCTCCTGCATAACCACACATGGTCTCTAGTTCCACCCACTGCAGGTATGAATATTATTGGCTGTAAATAGGTGTTTCGTACGAAGAGAAAGGCTGATGGTGCTATTGAAAGGCATAAAGATAGGCTGGTTGTGAAAGGTTTTATTCAGGTTCCAGGTCAGGACTTCTTCGACACTTTTAGTCCAGTGGTAAAGCCTACGACTGTAAGACTCCTTCTATCTCTAGCTTTATCATCTGGGTAGTCTATCAAACAGCTAGATGTTCATAATGCTTTTCTGAATGGTAATCTGGCTGAAACGGTTTATATGAAGCAACCCCCTGGTTATATTGATGCTAACTTCCCGAATCATGTTTGTTTGTTAAAAAGATCTCTGTATGGGTTAAAACAAGCTCCCAGAGCTTGGTTTAATCGACTACATACGTTCTTACTATCGGTTGGCTCTCAAGCATCCAAGACAGATGTCTCTCTGTTCTATTACTCTAAAGACTCTGCTTTGGTTTATCTATTGGTGTACGTGGATGACATTCTTGTAATGGGAAGTGATCAGGGTATTATGTCTCAGCTCTTGTCCAAACTATCTGCTACATTCAAAATAAGAGATCTTGGTGAACCAAATTTCTTTCTGGGTATTGAAATAGTTAAGAGTGACAATGTGATTATTTTATCTCAACAACGGTATATGAATGATATTTTAAAACGGGCTGGAATGTCTGAATGCAAACCCCTTTCTACACCTATCTCTGTCTCGAAAACTGTCCCCTTCAATTCAGATCTATATGATGATCCCACACAGTACAAGTGTCTAGCTGGAGCACTGCAATATCTCACTGTCACACGACCTGACCTATCCTTTGCAGTTAATCAGTTATGCCAGCATATGCATGCTCCCACCATATCACACTGGGAGCAGCTCAAACGGGTACTCAGGTATGTTAAGGGAACAGTTGATCATGGTTTACGCATACGACAGTGTTCATCTAGAGACATTCATGCTTTCTCTGATTCTGATTGGGCTGGTTGTCCTGACGATCGAAAATCCACGAGTGGTTTTGCTGTTTTCTTGGGGAATAATCTTATATCATGGGTTTTCAAGAAACAGACAACTGTTGCCAGGTCATCCACTGAGGCTGAATACAAAGCTCTTGCAGATGTTTGTGCTGAGGTTCTATGGATTATGTCATTACTGCGTGAGATACAGATTCCGAGTATTTCCATTCCAAAATTATGGTGTGATAATCTAGGAGCTACATATATGAGTGCCAATCCAATCTTTCATGCGCGCACCAAGCATGTGGAGATTGATTATCATTTTGTTCATGATCGAGTAGCCTCGGGCGATATCCAAGTCAACTTCATCTCCACAAAGGATCAACTTGCTGATATCTTCACCAAAGCTCTGCCTGGACCTAGATTTTCTTCCTTAAGGGACAAGCTACAGGTTATTAGTATACATTGTGCTTGAGGGGGAGTATTAGGACTCTATGTATATGAGTCTGTTTAGAACTTCTTATCCTTGTCACACTGTGACTCTCTACTTCTTAGAGCATCCACACTTGTGCATATTGTGGGGGGATTTCAGCATTAATTCTTCCCTACATGAGATAATAACTAGTGTGGAGGGGAGATAATTGAAAAAGAATTGTCCTACAAATGTGAGGATATTGTCAGGAAAAAAAAAAAAAAAGAAGAAGAAGTAAGGCTGTGCGCGTTCGCGCACAACCTTGGGCAAAAGCCGGGCGCGTGCAGTGACGCGTCTGATTACTTTTTTTTTTTTTTTTTTTTTTTGGTTTTGTTTTTTCTTTTTTTTTTTCTCTCCCCTCCCACATTCTCTTTCCTAATCACTCTTACATTATCCCCCCATTCTCCCCAACCAATGTGGATGCTCTTATCATTGTCACACTGTGACTCTCTATTCTATATATTCACATCATCTGATCTCATTGTATTCAAGTTCAGTAAATACAATACAATCAGTTCTCATCCATCCCATACTGCATTGTTTAGGGCCTTCTTAAACTCG